GGGGGGCGGGACAGTCGGCCAGTTGGCCGATCGCGGGGTCGGCCTGTCGGGTTGTCGGCCAGTCGGCCAGTCGAGGAGTCGGCCAGTCGGGGAATCGGCTAGTCGGCCAGTCAAATAACCAGCCAGTCGGGGAGTCGGCCAGTCGCGGAGTCGGCCAGTCGGCACGGGCGCGGGCCCGCGTGGCGGGCCGAGCAAGGCTTTCGCCCTCAGTTGCCCCTGTTGCGCCCACCCTGCACCGGAGCGGGGGCCCGGGCGCGCGTGCGCCGGGCGCCGCGAGCCAGCGCGCGGCGAAGCGCGAGCTCGCGCGCGCGTGCAGCGACGCGCGCGCCGCGCGTTTTTCGCCCGCGTCCAAGGGCGGCTTTCGCGCGTCCATCGCAAGCGGCGACCGCGGGCCCCCTTCGCCAGCGGCCATCCTGGAAAGCCTGGCCCGCGCGCGAGCGATGGCAGCTGTCGGCGCGGCGCCGCGATCCTTCGGGCCACAGAGCAGGCTCAGCAGCAGCGCGCTGCCGCCGTCGCCCAACGAGGCGTGTTCATTCGCGCTTGAGTTTCGCAGCCCGCGCACCTTCGGCAAATGTGTGGCGCGGCTTGTGAAAGAATGCCAATCGTTGGTGCTGGGCGCGTCTGCCCCTGGGCATCGGTCACTCACGGGGGCGCGCGAAGCCATCGGGAAGCGGCGCATTCTGAGGAGGCCGCCGACGTCTTCCGCGTTGCTCTCGCGCCTCCTGGCGGTGCTTGACTTTGTCCGCGCCGACAGTGCTCTGCGCGCGTTATTTCTAGTGCCCTCGGAGTTCGCGTTGCGGGTGCCTTCCGAGGCCCTCCTGGTGGAGAGAGGCGACCCCTTGGCGCGCAAGGAATTCGCTTTCTCCGACCAGGACCTGCGCGTTTCGAGTGCACGCGGCGCCCCATTGCCATAGTTGTCGGGCGCCACGGCTGCGATCCATCACTCGCGGCGCGAGAACCGCGGCGACCGTGCAGTTGCTGTGCGGAGCTGTTAGCGCGCGAGTTCGCCAGCGACGTGCGCAGCGTGCGAGGCGCGGCTGTTGTTCGAGAGCACCCGAGTCGACCCGACCGTGTTCTCGCATTTGCAGCAGGTCGAGAGTCGCGGGGTCGCCTCCATCGCTGCGCCTGCGAGGCGCGCCATAGAGGCGGTGGCGCAGCGCGCCGGCCCAGCGGGCGCGGCATCCTTCGCGGGCAGAGCTTCGCGTCGAGGGCACGCGGACATTAATCGGCGGTGCCGCGGCCGCCTGTGCGAAATTGTCCGCGGCGCTGGCAGGTCTCCCCGCGCTTCCAAAAAACGCGTCGATAAGAACAGACGCGAGCGCGAGGCGAGTGCCGAAGCAGTGACCGTCCCTTCGTGTTGCGGACCATGATCCGCGGCGTCGGCGCGAGTCAGCAAGGTCGCCTCGTCTTGGCGCGCCCCCTGCGCCCTGCCTCGGCGAGGGTCGTGGCAGGCCTTGTGCGCCCCGACCAGCAAGCCCAAGCGCCTGCGGCGTTGGGTTCGGTCGGGGACGGCGCCCGCCACCGCGAGCGCCCCCGCGAGCGCCCCCGCGCGCATCGCTCGCGGGGCGGTCGCCCTTGCTAGGCTGCTCTGTCGGAGACGGCCTGTGACCGTCTCGCCTGCCCGCCCCGAATGGCTTCGACGCTCAGGATGGCCTGGTCGGGGGCGGCGCCTGTCACCGCAAACGCCCCCTGCGCGTGGCGCTCGCGGGGCGACGACCCTGGCTAGGTCGCCGCGCTCATCGTTGGGGCGTTGTGTCCAGAAGTCGTGAACGCGAGTAGGGAACGCTTAGATGTGCGGCGCCACATGTTGCATCCCGAATGCAAGAGGTCAATGTTAAGGGGTCCGCGCTGGCATACACATTTGCGCATGCAGATGTATGCATAAAGCTGGGTTCGTGCACGTGCATGCACTTACGCAAGTGGGTACGACAGGATCTCGCCGCGCTGACGCGGCGGCGACCCCAGCGTTGGCGTTCAAGGTTGAACGCCGCCGCTGAGCAGGAACAGGCCTATATCGAACGAGCAGCGTTGTCTGGAAGCCGCGATCGTTCAAGGTTGAACGACTTACGCGGTGTCAGAATCCAGCGCCCGGGTTTGCACCGCGCGATTTTTCCGTACGCAATGATTTGCGTGTGCGTGTGATTACGTACGTGCATACATGGTACACAGCTGGGGAGCGCAGGTGGGGGGCCCTGCACTTTGTCGGGCGGATCGATGCCCCGCCCCGCCACGCTCGAGGTTTGGATATGGAGCGAAAAGGGATCAAAATGAATGCAATGTTTGCACGTGTTGGACCATAGAGTGCATGGCGGCGCCGCGACAGAGTCGAATTTCTGGTTGGGGGTCGGGACACGTGGTGAGCATCCCCTCTTGTGCCACGCTCCAGAGCTTGGTCGCACCTTGTCGGGTGGGTGGTCGATACCCCGCCGCGCCACGTTCCCAGGGCATGCACAATTCCACGGCAGGGCACATCTACTCGACCGTGAGCTTGATCGTCACGGACGGGCCAGGGGTTGTCCATCGAGGGGGTGGGTAAGGGAGGATCGGGATGAGAAAAGGAAATCGGAGAAGGGACGAGGCGGGAGGAAGGAGTAGGTGGGAGGAGTCGGATAAGGATGGGGATGATGCTGAGAAGGAGGAGGAGGAGGAGGAGGAACAGGAGGAGGAGGAGGGACCCAAACAACATCAATACGCGTCAACTCTGTTGCAATCAACCCTCTCCAGATTCCCGCATCATAGGTCCTGCAATGAGTCATATTCATTGTCTCGAAGCGGCCCATTAGAAGTCAACCGTCTGGGAGTTTTCACTCGCACGAGGAACGCGCAATTCCTGGGACTTGTACGCCGCGGATGAACGCGACCGCTGCGTCCTGACAATTCTAAATCGTCCCAGGACGCGGTTCCTGGAACTTCAGCACCGCGAATCGAAAGAACGGTTGCGTCTTGACAATCCTGAATCGTGTCATGACACCGTTCTTGGGGCCGCAACCATACGAATTTCTAAAACAGTCGCGCAAAGCTGTAAGGCGCATATGTGCGGCGGTAAGGCGGTAAGGCGGTAAGGCGGTAAGGCGGTAAGGCGGCAGTCGTAAGGCGCATATGTGCCGTTGATGGTGCATGGTACCTTCCTGGAGTTACCGTGCACAGTCTTCCGTGTTGAGGCCATTGCCTTTGGACGAGGCCTCTAGAGCAACCCACGCAATTCTCACCCAGTAGCGTACGAAAAGCTGAAACTGTAAGTTTCTTGAGCTAATGCGCATGTGCGTGGCACCCAAGCGAGAACCACATTTTGAACACGACTCGTTCTCCATCATGGAAGCTGCTGCAAGCTTGCATTTGGGCGAGAGCCACATTTTGGCCGCGAAACTAATGCGCATCTCAAGCTGCAGCATCATACATGGTGAGGATGTCCTAGGCGAAACGCCCGCCCCGCCCCGCCGACACGTCTGGGGTGCGACAGGGAGGGATTATTTATCAGGAAAAGGGATGGAGAAGGACGATGAGGAGGAGCATGTGATGCGGCGTGGTGTGGCGTGGTGTGGCGTGGCGTGGCGTGGCGCGAGGGAGGAGGAGGAGGAGGAGGAGGAGGAGGAGGAGGAGGAGGAGGAGGAGGAGGAGGAGACGGAGGAGGAGACGGAGGAGGAGACGGAGGAGGAGGCGGATGAGGATGAGGAAAAGAACAAGGAGGAGGAGGAGGATGAGGAGGAGATGGAGGAGGAGGGGGCGACGAGAGGAAAGCAGAGTAAACCCAGGATGCATCAGCGATGCTGCAGTGCACCCTACCGTCCCGAGCTCTTCCCCGCAGTCCGTCGCCCGCGCGCCAGGGCGGCCGTGCGGCGCGGCTGGCCAAAACGCGGGGGTTGGCCGCTCTTTGGCCGTGCGCAGTACAGTGGAGACCCATGCCAAGAAACACCTCGCTTGCCTCCAGGGTGCCCTGATATTTTTGGGTTTCGATGGTTTTGCTATGGAAAGCGTGACGTCCCCACACCAAAAATCAATGGACGTCCTGGGGTCTCAGGGTTGGGTTTCTTGTGGAAGGTTTCTTGTGGTCGAGCCCCTACTGTACAGTCGAGTTTTTCTTCCTGCCACTTGCCACTCGAGTTCTGCCCCTACATACAGCCTCGCAGCCGTACGAGCCCGTGCCCGCGTGCATTTCGACGGGAGGCCAGAGTGGCAGACCTGGGAATCCGAAGGTCGAAAGCACTATAAACTCCGTAGCTTAGGGCCTTAAGCTCTGAATTCTGTGGTGGGTGCTGTGGCGGCCCCTCCTCCTCCTCCTCCTCCTCCTCCTCCTCCTCCTCCTCCTCCTCCGCTGTTCCTTCGGCCGCCTCCTGTTCCTTCTAATCGGAAGACCCGGAGGCCGTTTCGGAAGCCGTTTCGGAGCTGTTTCGGAAGTGTTTCGGAAGTTGTTTCGGAACCGTTTCGGAGCTATTTCGGAAGCCCCTTCGGAGCCGTTTCGGACGCCCCTTCGGAGCCGTTACGGAAACCGTTTCGGAAGCCGTTTTGGAGCTACATCGCAAGTGTTCGGAAATTGTTTCGGAGCCGTTTCGGAGTCTCTCTCGGAGGCTGTGTCGGAATGTTTTGCAGGCTGTTTCGGGGCCGTTTCGGAAGCCGTTTCGGAGCTGCTTCGGAAGTGTTTCGGAAACTGTTTCGGAGCCGTTTCGGAGTCTTTCTCGGAGGCTGTTTCGGAATGTTTCGGAGGTCGTTCCGGAAACCGTTTTGGAAGCCGTTTCGGAGTTGTTTCGGAAGTGTTTCGGAAATTGTTTCGGAAGCTGTTTCGGAACCATTTCGGAGCTGTTTCGGAGGCCCCTTCGGAGCTGTTTCGGACGCCCCTTCGGAGCCGTTTCGGAAGCCGTTTCGAAGCTGCCTCGGAAACGTTTCGAAAACTGTTTCGGAGTTGTTTCGGAGTCTCTTTCGGAGGCTGTTTCGGAAGCTGTTTCGGAGCCGTTTCGGAAGCCGTTTCGGAGCTGCTTCGGAAGTGTTTCGGAACTTGTTTCGGAGGCTGTTTCGGAGCCGTTTCGAACGCCGTTCTGGAGCCGTTCGGGAGCCGTTTCTGAGTTGTTTCGGAAGCTGTTTCGGAAGCTGTTTCCGAGCCGTTTCGGAGCCTTTTTTTCGGAGGTTGTTTCGGAATGTTTCGCAGGCTGTTTCGGAAGCCGTTTCGGAACCGTTTCGGAGGCCCTTTCGGAGCCGTTTCGGACGCCTCTTCGGATCTCTTCGGAGCCGTTTCGGACCTGCTTCGGAAGTGTTTCGGAAATTATTCAGAACCGTTTCGGAGCTGTTTGGGAGGCTGTTTCGGAACCGTGTCAGATCGTGTCGAGCGCCCCTCCGGAGCCGTTGCGGGACCCCACAAAACGGCACCAGAAAGCGCCAAGAGAGCCCGAAGCCGCTCCAAGAGGGACCCGACACGCCCACAGGCCGCTCCAAGACGCACAGGCCGCTCCAAGACGCACAAGATGGCGCCCAAGACACCCCAAGAGGCCTTGCAGACGCCCCAAGAAGCTCCCAGAGGCCCCCCAGGAGGCCCCCAAGAGGCAAAATTCGCTCCATTCCCTTGAGGGAAAAGTATATGTGTCGCATATATACCTCTTTGGCTTTTACAGCGTCCAAGACGGCCCCAGAGGCCACCAAGACTGCCCCAGAGGCTCCCAAGAGGGCTCCAAGACGACCCAAGAGGGTCCCAAGACGGCCCGAGAGGCCCCTACGACCGCCCAAGAGAGCCCCAGGACGAGCCCCGAGGGGTCCCAGAGGTGAAAAAACGTATTCAAATTCCGAGCTTTCGGCACCAGGAGGCCCCCGGGAGGATCCCAAGAGGCTCCCAAACGGCCTCGAAGACGCCCTTGAGAGGTCTCTAAGATGCCTTCACCCCCCAGGACCCACACTGGCCTTCTGGTGAGAACGACGAAGGCTATGATGAAATAACATCGTCGAGGGGTATCATGACGATGATCATGGTGATGGGAAGATGCGGTGGCGATGATGAGAGGAGGAGAATTATCATGAAGATGGGTACGATAACGATGGTGATGATGCTGATGATGATGACGATGCTGATGGTGACGATGATGGTGATGGTGATGATGGTGAGGATGAGGAGGAGGATGTGGATGAGCATGAGGATGCTTATGGATAGAGGGAGGACGAAGAGGAGGCGGAGGAGAAGGACACGAGGATGAACTATGAGAATGATGATGATGCTGCTGCTGCTGCTGATGATGATGATGATGCTGGTGATGATGGTGATGATGATGATGCTGATGATGATGATGATGATGATGAGGGTGATCTTAGGATGATGAGGATGAGGACCTGGCTTATGAATGGGACTGACAAGATCATGATGGTGGTGACGATGATGATGGTTATGACTGTCATGATGATGATGATGATGATGATGATGATGATGATGATGATGATGATGATGATGATGGTGGTGGTGGTGGTGGTGCTGAGGATGATGATGATGAGGATGGTGACGAGGCTGATGATGTTGATGACGATCGTGATGATGATGATGATGATGATGATGATGATTATGGTGATGATGATGATGCTGATGGTGATGGTGATGGTGATGATGATGACGATCATGATGATGCTGATGCTGATGATGATGGTGATGATGATGCTGGTGATGATGCTGACGATGCTGATGATGCTGATGATGACGAGGAGGGTGATACTGATGATGAAGATGATGATGACGACGATGCTGATGTTGTTGTTGATAGCGATGGTGAATGTCAAGGCGATGGTGGTGATGAGTAGGATGATGCTGCTGATGCTGATGCTGATGCTGATTCGGATGTCGCTGCTGGTGCTGCTGCTGATGATGACGATGACGACGATGACGATGACGATGACGATACGGCGAGGCAGGATCAGGACAGCCGTCGCACGTGTCATCTTCCGTCTTTTCTTCTTGAGGAGCTTCCCAGAAGCCCATTTGGGCGGTTTTTGGGCCGTCTGGGGCTTTCGTGAGGCAGTTGTGGGGGACTTTCGGGCCTTTTTGGGCCAGCCCTTTTGGGACCCTCTTGCAATGGTTTGAGGCTCTCTGGGGCCGTCTTGGGGCCCTCTTGACTGTCTGAGTTGGGGGGTCTCTTGCGATCGTCGATGGGCCGTATTTGGGCCGTCGATGGGCTCTCCAAGGCCGTCCTGCGCTGTCTAGGAGCTTTCTTGGGCTGCCTTGAGGCCGTTTTAGAGGATTCTTGGGCAATTTGGGGGCAGTCTTGGGGCCATAGTAGTGAATACCTTTAGGGCCGTCTGGAGCAGAAGGGAGCCCGAACAGGTGAAGACGCCGAAGTCTTGTGAGCTCGGGGGGGCAGGAGGGAAGAGAAGGATAAATGCATGGAGAAGCGAAGAGCTGCCCCCCCCCCCACCTGCAGGCCCGGGGCAGTTGGCATAGAAATGATTGGTGTTTTCCCCGTGGGTTCTAACGCCATGTAGGCATTGGCGTTTGGACAGCGCGGGAAGATTCTTTGGTTTACGCCCCACCGCCAACCC